TTTTTTTTTTTTTTTTTTTTTTTGTGGTGATGTTTTATAATAAGCTTACCTATTTTCATGCCAGATTTTCTGCAGGGCAAATCTAATTCCTTTGAAAGTAAAAAATACTCAATATTCCTATTTGTAATTAATCCACACAGCATAAAATAATTTAATAGTGGACAATTAAGTAATATTTTTTTAATATGGTCACACTGTGGAAATGTTTGTTTGATAACAATAAGGCTTCATTTAGAAAATGTACAGGATCTTTTGATGAAACAAGTTACACACACACACACACACACACACACACACACACACACACACACACACACACACACACACACAGAGGTAGACACATACACACTTTTATTAATGCAGTCACTTGCGAGTTCTGTCAGATGTATTCACAAGAAAACCCAGCAAGACAACAATACCGAGTTGAATGCATTATGCATACTATTCAAACAAATGATGGAAATTTGCACTTTCTGGGGTTCAGAGTAAAATCATCCATTTAAATGATTTAGAAGGCCCACATATGATGGTTGGCCTCGAGATGACCTTTGTTGTTCAATCACACTCATTTCACAGCAGATGAGCTGTGTTTCCTTAGTAATGGGGCACCGATGAGTAAATACAACATCACAGGAACTTTCTTTGAATGCAGTTTTTCCAACAACTGCCCAGAGTTCAAACCCCTACATGGAAGGACTGATGTCAAGTTCAAAAGGAGGATAAAATCCTTACCTCTCGTAGGAGCTGTACTGCATTAAAAGGTTAATTTATCCGTTTTGAGACTAGGGTTCAAAGGTACAGAAATGTTTACAGAACTATTACAGGGAAATGATTTCAGAACAAAAAAAAATGAAAAACAAAAGATAGACGAATTGGTTGATATAGTTTGTATTTATATATATGCACATATGCCATCAGAATCATGGCTGGTGCTGTTTAGAAAATAAAAACACCATAAGTATTTAAACAAATATACTGTGGCACCATTAAGATTAAGGATTGATAAGATTCAGTTTTGATAACTGATAATAAAAAAAACTGCTAGTGAATCACAATCATATGTGCTAAGAACTTGCATGTACAGACAAGTATAGATTTAACCCGTTTATTGGAATCCCTCCTATCACCAAACAACCAGAAAGTCTTTTTGTAACTACACCTCTGCTAAAGTTTGCATAATACTAAGGCTCTGAGGGCATTTTATGACGTAAATTAGTGGTAATTTGTGTTCAAGTTAGTCCTGGTCTGAACTGTAAGCTATATAAGATGTGCTGAGCAGTCACCGAATTTGTCAGGATATATCAGTTACTACTTAAAACTTGAGTATTGAAATATTGAACAATGGCATGTAGGCTTTGCTAAATACGTTTATATATGTAGTGCGATACACAGTCCGACATATGCATGGTAATTTTAAATTTTTAATATACCTCACCTATTGCAATAAATTTTGAAGATTATTATTATTATTTTTTTTTACTTTAAAATAATTTCTCATTTGAACTTATCTCTGCTTGGGAATGGACTTTTTTTCTGATACCATTGACAAAACATTATTTTAGTCAAAGAAATTAATCAGTTCTGTTCATATTTAGTTTAAAATTACCATAATTTCATGTTCAGTGCATGGTTATGCTGCAGGGACCATAATTGCCCATCCATTATTGGTTTTTTGGGGTCGGGTCCAGATTCATTCATGCCAAGTTTTTCATTTAAGCCTGGATTGGAGACTTGAGATCATTACTGACTATTAGGAGCAAGTTCATTTGAGTGAAATTGTGCAGAGTTGAGTCATGTCTGTCCCACTTTTCTTGGTTGTTGATGAAGTGCATCGATAAACTGGATGGCAACTTAAGTTGACGACTGAGGTTGGCATCTTTAAAAAATCCATTCAGCAATGCCGTCAAATGATATTGGCATCACTTTCAACCTCTGCCCATATCCAGCTTGTGATGAAAGTTAAAATGGGTAGATCACCCTTATTGTATTGGATCCATGTGGGTTTAGTGCTTCCTTCCAGTATGCTAAGAATGCACATACATAAAAAGCTGTAACATTGAATAAGAAGTATACTTGAAAGAATCCATGGTTGTATTCATTATCAAAACCCTTTGATAAAATAGTCAACAGTCAGAAAACAAATGCCCAACCCTACCATGACAGGCAAAGAAAACTTGACATAGCACTGAAAATGTCAGTAGGTTGAAATATCTACACAAAGTAAGTGTAAACATGATTTTACACAATAATATACATTTTTTAAGAGTTGTTCATAACAAGGTGTTTTTTTTTTTTTTTTTTTTTTTTTTTTTTTTTTTTAATAATCTATTTATTAACATTTTTTGTTAGTCTCAAACATCATGTTATCCATGTGTTACTAACGTTACTAACATAGTTACATGCTGGTATGGAGAATTCAGTTACATGATGGGAAGCCCCACAATTTGACATGTCTAGACAATAAATGGACTTATGTAATACATGCCTAGTAATACATTCCAGACAATTTATTTGAAAGCCATTCAGTTGTTATAAATTTGTCAAGTTTTTGCATTAAGGCCATTGACAAAGCTAACACAGGATGTAAATAAAACTTGGAGACCCTGATGGCTTTTTAACAGACATCTATACATGTATTGTATAAATATTAAAAACATTCTTACACAGAACTTTTACAGGGAAATGATTTCAGAACAAAATGAAAAACAAAATTGGTGGATAAAAATCATTGTGGTAAAGAATAATATCTGTTAGTTTTGTGTAGAATTACTGAGAAACTATTACACACACACATGCACACACACACACACACCTGTAGCATGCTTCTGTTTGTCAGAATTGTCTAGACAGAGAGGACTTACAAAATTATTGTCACACTGAAAAATAGCCCCAGATGTCAATCATGTGGCATCTGAAATAAGGGGAAAAGAGTTCAAATATTGATCGCTTCCTGTGTCCATATGACCACTTATAAATAATTGCCTAAGCCAAAGTTTCATTTCAAATTTAAGTATGAATTTCTAGTGTCTGTCCAAACAGTTTATGCAGTGGGCCTATTTTTGACAGAGGCGTGAAATGGGCTCAGATGTAATATTTTAAAGTGTGCCATGTTCTTGAAAAATTCTCTAGTGTTGACAGTCGTAAAAAAGGGCTTTGATTACTGTAAGTAATCAGGTTCAGAACAGAAATTAAGCCCATTTTGAAGATGTGACAAGTCTCAAACTGCCCAACAAATACCACGAAATGAGGCACAATTTAAGTTATATGTCTCCTTGTGTGTCTCTATTAAACATCAAATGATTAACAGGTGTGTAAACTGAAGTACCACTGGATCTAGTTTCAGGAAAGAGCTCACTGACAAGTCAAAAAGTTAGAATTCAGGCCTGCTTAAATCCAGCTTAGATCTGTGATAGAGAAACAAAAAATTGGAATAATTTTTTTTTAATTTTGAAAAGAATAAAAGTCACAGTAGAGACCCCTCACAAAAGTTTGCTTGTCATGAAATAGCTTTGAGTTTGTTCTAAATTAGCATGCTGCATGAATAACTTCATATTTTCACTTTAAACACATAAAGATTTTCTGCTGCTATGTTATATGATGTTATAATCTGGTGAAATTAATTTTTGGAATATTTCTCAAGGTTCACCTAAACATTCATAAATAAAGAGAAATTTTAACAAAAACTAATTCTGTTTCAGATGTAGACAGTGCAAGATACAGCCACACCCATGGCGTCAGTTGAAGAACAACTGCAGCAGGCTGCTGCTAGCGCCACCACGCCAATGGTGTCCACCACCAGCGTTGCCAGTAGCAACCAGCAAACCCCCACCAGTCACCACTCCATACTGACCACAGTGGACACACCCATGGGCCAAGAAAATGTTATTTTACTGACCACACCAACAACGGCCACTCCTACGCCAGTGGCGCTCCATGCTGGTGGCATGATGATCCCCTTCACGATAGCGGCACAGGGGGCTGGGGTAAGATTTTATGTTGTCCTGATAGGATTTTTTTTAGATAACATAAAATGTCAAAAACTTAAATTTTTTAATATACATATCTTGGAGAGGAAGAGCAACATTGATGATATTTTGTTAGATGCAAAGGATCACAATTTTTATAGCTGAGTTTTGTTTGTATTGAAAGAACAATGTCTCTCTCAACATCTGTAAATTTCTCTAAAATTTGATTATGAATTAATTAACTGAAAACATTTCGTGAAGTGTTCATTTATTGGTTATTAAGAGCATGATTTTTTTTCATATGAGTGCATATCTGTACATTTGACAGGACTGCTGTCTAATTACATAATATTTACAGCCTGATATTTAGAAGTCTTTTATCATGGATGATAATAACTTAGAAAAGTTCGAAAATGCTTACATTTAAACGTGTGAAATTAAGCAACTTGCATAACACAGTATATGTATAATATGACGAGAAATTTAATCTTAAAACCCTAGAAGTCATCTGCTAAAACTAATTTACGCATTAAGGACATGAACTTTGTATTAACTTTTTGGAGAAAAAAAATTGATGCCCTGACAATTAGGGTTGATTTCTGACATCAGGACAACATAAGAAAATTAGGGGAAATTTTAAAATGCATACTAATGCATGCCCAGCCAAAGAAAATAAACAAATAAATAAGTAAATAAAAGCCAACCTGTCCAGCAAATATACATGTTTTTACTAGTCCTTGAAAATGAAATGAAAATGATGTTCAATCAAACAAGTGATTAAAGCAAGAGGGAATTTTTCTTTCATTTACTATTATTGTTTTATGGGGAAGAGGTTCAGAGGTCATTCTCTGCTTCTTCCATTTTGTTCCAGTCAATAATAGAGGATTTTTAGCATTGTATTATCAGCAATCCCTCTGACCCCCTCCCTTAAAATTGTTCCCTCTACAATTTGTGCCAAGGGAATCACATTTCTGTATTGTTTTACATGGCATGTGTCCATGTATGTCTTCAGCGATTGGGTTCAATTTGTCTGTCTATTTGCAGCCACTTTATCTATCAGGGCTCTCATTGGCATTCTCTGTTGAGAAACCTCAGTTTGGGGCACGATGGGAAAGAGACTGTCCCAGGAGAACATGTATAATGTTGGTGTTGTTAAGTACCAACTGTGCAGTTATCAATAGGTCAATGCATGGTCCTGGCCATTATAGGGAACATGTATGACTAAGCTGAGCCAACGTACATGTAACAACTTGTGACAGTGACTGAAAATAATTTATTTTGAAAAGCAGAATGCTTTGTCATTATTTTTCTTGCCTCTTTGGCATTCACATAAAAAATGAGTTTTTAAAATAAAAAATATGCTGTTTGATTGACTACGTTAGGTTTTTAAATTGGAACAGGTTTTGGTTGTGCTGATAATGTATACCTGATTAACTTAGACAAATAAGCAAACTAAGCATTCTTTTGAAATAAGGTCAAAGGTAGTATTATAAAAAAAAAAGGCTCTAAGATTAGATCTGTCTGTGCAATTAATAAATGAAATTAATAAAACAGTCTAAAAATCTACTTTTAGTATGCCGAACAGAAATAAATTTAAGCAAATCTGCCATGCCAACACTTAAGAATATATATATTTTTTTTCATTTTGAGTCAGTTAATTTTTAAAAAGAAACCAGTGACAAATAGGAGATCAAATGGCAAATATTTCCTATTTCTGTAGTGAAGATGAATCCGGCATTTGATGCAAGCAGAGCCTGAACATCACTTTCAGCAACTTCAAAATGAGACTAGACTTTTGAAAGTCCATCATGCTGTGAAGTTATCTCCGTAGCCTTAAATAATAACTAGTTATGTGGTTGACCTCTCGTTGACATTTCCAACATGGTGGATACAGGTCGCCCTCGGTCACGACTGCTGTCTTCCCTAACCAAAATCAATAAATAACAGACTGCTTTTACCATTGGATGACATACATGTTCCCTGGCCTCGTCTCTGGATTTCTATTGAATTAAAAAAAATTGGACCCCTTCTTAAAAAATGTCGTATTTTTAGTCACAGTATATTTTTATGGTAGTCGGTTAAGGTTGTTTTACATAATTGTTGACTAAGGAACATCTAAAGTTGAGCCAATTGAAATCATGCTGTTTTTGATATAAGCACTATAAGCAACATGCATAATAACATGCTTGCACTTGAAACACCTGTTATTATGCCCTGTGTGTAAAAAAAATTAGCCTGGGCATGCTTTATCATGTGATAATTTCATCATTTAAAAAATAATAATTTTGGCTCTGTATATGACTCCTTACAGTAAAATTGTCCAATTTTAGAAAATTTTTCAGCTGTAGCACTTGAGTTAAGTTTAAGACAACAAATACAAGCTACTTACATGGTATGTGGAAAGAAAATCTGTGGAAAAACTTGTAAGAATACTTAGCTGAAAACAGACACCAGCTATCCTAAGCACTGGTAACCGAATACTCATTTTGAAATCAGCAGTGGAAGATGTAACTGTGTTATGGACAAATTACAGATGTAACTCTGTTGTGTAAAGATTTTTGTAAATGTACCTAATCACCGCTGCAGTGGAGTATCGTTTACAGTAAAGCTTCTCTTATGAGCCCAGCCCAGCCTAGGTGGGCCCTGTACTCTGTACATTTGATAACCTGATATAAGATAAACAATCATGTTTGTAGCTGTTACAAAATACTTGCCAACATGCCTTGACCTTTGCAGTGGGTGAACTCAAACTGTCTTCATTTTTAACTACACCGAGGTTCAAAAAGGTGCACTCCGCCAGGAGGTGATATATGGGGATGGCTCTCTAAGTAGATAGGGGGTCACGAGGGTGGATTGTGCCAGGATGTGGTTGTGTTTTAATAGCACCCATATACGGGCCGCCATATACTAGTAGAGGATTTAGAGAGTAGGATTTGTGCTGTTAAAAAAAGGCACAACATCCCAAGACATACCCATGTGTGCAGAGAGAAAAAGAGAGAGAGGGGTGTGTATCTAAAACATCAGAGAAAAAAAAATCTGTCATTGACAGTAGCTAGCTCTATTTAGGTAGTTGTTGACAGTAAAATAGAAACGACATCTGTCCCTCCCTCCCACTTGTTGCCCCTCCCTCTAATAACCAGTGTGTCACTTCCATTTGTGATTGAATGATGTCTAGAAGCACAAAGTTACTGTAGGCTGATTTATAGATACCCCTCTCCTACCCCCCCCCCCCTTAGGCTTTTTGCTCTGCCTCACCCCCTCATACAGTATGCATTAAATGTAAGTTGCATTTGATAAAATATTGCATATGGTTGACAGCACAGCCCATTTTCAAACCTGTAATTGGGATCCTCTTACTTGTCTGAATTGAAACATTTTTTAACTGTTTGTTTGTTTTTTTCTGTTTTTGTATATGTACATTTGTTTTTAGTTATATAGCTCCCTTGATGTTTGATGAGAAATATAATGGGAATTGTGAATTGAGGAGGTGATTTGGAGTCGCCCACTATGGAAAAAATTGAGATAAGATGTAAAGATGATGACTAAAAATGATGTCCCTTATGAGAGATATAATGTGGATGTGAGTACGTGTGTGTGTGTGTGTGTGTGTGTGTGTTCGCGTGTTTCATACCTTTATGGAAGGTCGAGAAGAAATATTTTTTATGTAATACATGGTTTTCACATTTGTTTCTCCCCTTTGATGTATGGAAGAGATCTATCTCCTCCCCCTCGTTGTCTTTTGTCCCAGCTTTTGTCCTATTCAACAGTTCAATCAGCATTCATGTTGGCCCCCCCCCCCTCCCCTTCAAGTCTATCTGCCTTTTGACACTTGGCAAAGAAACTGATATTTGACTTAAAGAAGGGCTGTAGCTAGGAGCAAACATGATTTCTGACACTTGTGACCTATGCATTCACAGGTATTTACTTGTTTGCTGTTATTGATTTAACTTACTGACTTGCTCTTCGTGAGGTCAGGGAGTCGTGACAAGCTTCTGGTGGAGGTCAAATGAGAGCTATTGGTTTCTCTTTCCCTCATCTACAAGTTATGTGTTTAGGGTGCTTTTTAAAATATTTATTTATTTATTTATTTATTTATTTATTTATTTATTTATTTATTTATTTATTTATTTATTTATTAACAAGATTAGGGTTTAAGATGGACATGCAAAAATGGTAATTCAAAGAATGAAATTGGAAGGAACCATTTACTTGTGTTGTAGTCACTTTTTATTCCACAATAAAACTGTAAATATTATCTAGTTAGGATGAACAAGGAGCACTATGAATAAAAACCTTGAACAAGCCTTCTGGTGTACTCTTTATCAGTGAAACATGTTGTTTATTTCTTTTGCAAATTGTTGGGTACAACACTTTGTTTGAATCACATATTAGATTGTTCTTGTATTTCTAAAACCGTTCTTTGCCATTTTGTAAAAGGTCACTTTATAGAAGAAGTCAGGTCTAGCAATTGGTTTTATAAACTATTGCAGTGATGATTATTAGCCTTTTAGTTTTTGAAGCGAGAAGAATTGGGAGTATTTACTGGCTCTAACTGAGCCATTAAGCCCTCATGACTCTCTAAATTTAAAATATCACTTTTGATTGCATGATTCATTGATTTTCACTGCTTTGTTGATGTTTGGGATATGTTCATGGATGAAAGAAAATATTAATTAGCACACCATTTGTGACTATGTATCACATAAAACCACCTTGCAGATAATAGACTATAATTATGGCAGTCCAAAAAAAGAAGAATACAAGATGTTAGCATAGTGTGCCATGCAGCTCATATTAACGTTTCACCACAAACCATATTGCATCATCAGCTCAAGATTTGACTTCTGCATTACAAATTAAATAAACCTTTGTGCCATGTGCTCCAGTCTCGAAATGAAAACATTTGCAGATCCCCTCTTAAAATTCATCTGATTCAATTGAATATGACAACACTTTCAAAGAAATGACAGTTAATATTTTTAATTGTTGATGGTTTTTGGTAGAATTTGTCAAAGAATATGTTTCAATGGATAAATTAGAGAATTTTTTTTTCTTTTTGGTAGGTTTTTGTTTGCTGGCAAATAGGCATAATATAAGTCATGGGGGGATTCCCCTTAGCACATCCTTTCCCTGTGTGTTTTTGTGTGATGTGGAAGGAAGAAGTAGGAGAGCTGAACCCCACCCTAACTCTACTCCAACATTTATTCTTTGGGCAAAGATATAAAATCATTTGAGCTTATCTTTTCTTTTTCCTGTCCATTGTTATGAAGTTGAGAAAAAAGATGATGAAAAGAACCATCTAGGTTTCCACAATTATGCTGTTGACATGGGCTGACCCTGTGTTACATTGTAGAATCATTAAACCCTGTTGCTTTCGCTAAGACCATTAGGTGTGCCACAATGGCAGGTGATTCAATTACGATGTGACAGTTAGCTGAAATGTCTTCGGTCATGACCCCATGGCGTTTTGGATAGGCACAGTTTACGGTTCCTCACCAGGGAATCGATGTCTGCTCAAGGGCGTGGTCAAGATGGAAAAGTGCGTACAGTGTCCTTTTGGCATTTAAAGATTGCCACAAATGTGGATATTCATAAAGGACGACTTAATATGCAAGGGTTTGTACTCGGCATTGGTGTTATACCTTTATGGGCAATGTGAATGTTGAGGTTGCCCCTGACATGGATATTGAAGAAGATCTGATTGATTTTCTGATGATACAAGGGGTCGTGCCCGTGTCAATCCCATTTTGCCAATTGGGATTTTTCTATCGCATGCAGGGTTGTTAATACCAGCATGCACCTACATGCACGAAATCCTCGTGTATGACCACTTTGTTGGTTCCTTCATTAAGTTAGCTTGGAAAAAAAGTATTCTTTGATGTAGACTATCAAAGGGCATTTTTTTTTTCTCTGAGGAAAGGTATGGTTAAATGCATGGAAAATAATAGTGTTTTTTCCGCAAAAAATATTTTCTTTCATTTTTACTTTTTTATGTTTTAAGTTTTGAGTATATGATACATAGCATATCAATATATGATTTCGTATTTTTGTCCTTGACGTGATAGTAAAAGTAAATAGTCTTCTTTTTATGTGTATCTAAAAACATGAAGTTCATGTTGTTGTTGAGATTACATAGTAGAATCAGATATAAAACTGCAGCTTTGTTAGGGTAAGTTCAGAAGGGCTCTGATATTATCTTACTTTGGTCCATTATTGATTATATATTATGTGCTCTTGTTAGAGAGATCAGGTGAAACATTCACAAAGTTCACCACCTGAGCTCAATGTGGTCTTTGAAAAAAAAAATCGGGTGAATTATTTGTTGAGTTTTGTTCATTTACATAGGAAAAATTAAATATATGTGAACATTCTGTGAGTGGTATTCACATGGGCAAGTGTACACACAAAAAGGCAGATCAAATAATACATAAGTATGAGAAAAGATACAAAAGTGTGAGAATTTCTCTTGCTGTTAATGGTTTTACCTGACTGAATATACCTTGTTCAAATGGCCTAACCTTTACATATTGTTACTAAATTGGCTAAGGCCATTGTCACCACTCATTAGTGATTGGATTGGGGGAGTAAAATATAACTGCCCTGTCCTTTACATTTACCTTCATCATCAGTGGAGAAAGAGGGAGCGACAAGGACAGGTTCAGATCTTTTTATGGTTCATTGTTTAAAATCCATATCAAGCCTTTTTTTTTTTTGTCCTGATATTTATATGCTTTTCATAAGCTTTCTTATTTAGGAAAGTCATTTCATTTAGAAAATCATGTAGGAATTTCAGAGTCAAAATTTAAGGTTATATTTTTAGAAATTAGTTTTTTCTGTTATTACAAGTAAATTAAAACTGGTGATTCTGGCTATCATTGGTAGTAAAATTGTATACAGACAAGACTATTTTAGTAGACTCTCTTTCTCGTTCTCTCTCTCTCTCTCTCAAGACCTTTCCTAACTTCCTCTCTACAGTGCGGGCTGGCAAAATATCAAAAAGCAACAAGTTCAATTGTTTGTAGCACAGGAAGGCCTCGTCTGCTGAAAGTTAGGCAACATCTGTGATGAAGCAATAGTGCCAATGCATAATACATGGCTGTCCGTATTGTGTGGAATGGCAGACCTAAATTTAGGTCTTGCCCTTTTGCCCTGATTGTATTGTTTTACCTCTGCTCAACCCATCCTCTCTGATGAACCAAATGATTGTTCTGGTATTACTGGGAGAACGGTGTTCCAAGATTGTTGTAGGAGTTCTAGTGACTTTTCATGAGTTTTCTGATTTTGTTTGGTGAAAGTGAAGCTGTTGTAAGTTGATTTTTTTGTTCTCTTGGTTTTGTACTCTTTCTGTGATATTTAAGGCTTAATTTTTTTTTTTGAAGAACGTGATGTTGTGTTTTAATTTTCCAGAACTGTTTATGTTCTTGTTTTTTAATTCTTTTTGCATGCTCCTTATTTTAAATGACTTGAGGAATTACATTTAAAGACATCAGTGATTTGTTGTTACTTCTGATAACCTTTGTTACCCCATTAATCCAGTTAGGCCGTTTTCTCTGTCCTTATTAAAATTCATCATATATATATGCTGTTACTTAATAGTTAACACTTCATATTCTCCTGTCATGTAATGGCAAAGTTGATTTTTTTTTTCTTTTTGTATTGCATTTGCATTAATGATAGTAAGGATAAAAAGTATGCCTGACCATCTGCCTTTGGGCACATTTATATCCCAAGGTTTGGAGAACAGGCACTCTGAAATGTTCTGGAATTTGGTCACCCATTTTCAGGGAGTCCAACTATAAAATAATATAACATCATCCCCTTAAAATTTCATAAGCTGTTTAGCCATCTTTGAAATTGTACGCAGTCTTTTGAGGCCAGAGGACATCCATATGACGACTGGACAGCTCTCTGGAAAAAGTTTTGGTCACCCGATAAAATTCTTCGGAACCCAGTTATTGACAATGAGCTGTACCATGCCCCCCCCCTCTCTCTCTCTCTCTCTCTCTCTCTATCTCTCTCTCAAAGCTCATCCTACTTCAGCATTTTCAACACAGTGCACCCATCATACTTTTTAGAAACGCTCGCTCTGAGATTTAACATTACGTTGACCAATTTCAGACCTCGGCTGTCGCTACCACAAATGCCACTGGTCCCATCGCAGTCACTATGTTGACTCCTCAAGATCTAGCAACACGAATAAAGGATGTGGGGCAATTGGGGCAGATACCAATCACTTCTTTAAACAGCCTGGATCTGGCCAGTCGGTTAAAGGTAGGCGTTAACTGCACTGGACATAGGGGTGAAAGTTTGTGTGACCTGTGACCTATTATTTAAAAGTACATGTTACCTATTTTTCTAATTGTCTGAGAATTCAGTAATGAATTAAGAAAAATTCAGAAAAATGTTCATGCTATTGTCACATTGGGCTGAAATTTACGTCTTGCCCTGCTTCCAATCCAAAAAAAGTGATGTGCTTACTGAGAAAATGTTCTAGAAATTAAAGACAAGAAAAGGTTAAAAGGTAAATAACTTTTCAAGGACCCCAAGGGTTTCGCTGATCCTCTCTAACTTCTGTTTCACTTGAGCACCTGGAAAGTGTGTGTCATTGGTTCTGATTACTCGAGCAGTTTTCATTACTTAGCAAGCGTTGTCATTCTGCATATCGGATCATTTAAGCACTTAGTGTTGGGAGAGGGTACTGCCCGTAGCAGACAGTTGAAAAGTTCACGAGTTAAGTGAACTGCAATCAGCAAAAATGAAAGGTTCTTATTCATCAGTTGTGCCAAGTATTGAATAAGAGTCTTGCTGTTTTATCTGGCTGTTAGGCTTTCTGATTCACCAGGGATGTCCACATAATATTACTCAAATCACAGAAATCTGTTGTTTAAATGTAAGTTATAAACTGTAAAAGATAGAAAACATGCACGCAAGCATGTACATACATACCCACAGGCACACACAGAGAGAGAGAGAGAGAGAGAGAGAGAGAGAGAGAGAGAGAGAGAGAGAGTAAAAAATTATAATAAATTTAAATATTTAAGACGGTTCAATAGAAATTTGTAGAATATGAGTTAATGTATGGGGTACTTAAGGGGTCCTGGATTTGTAGTTCTGCCGTACATGAACCGATTGTTCTGATAGTGGTTTTGACTGTAAATATAAACCTAAAACTGTAGGGTTAGAAATAGTTTACAAATGTATAGTAGACATGTCTGCGTGCTGGGAGTTGAAAGAAACCCTGCTCTTTTTCTTTGAAAAAAAACTGTTGTAAGGATTAGAGTCATGAAATTGTATGTGAAGCACAGACAGAGTGCTTTGAATGAGTGGATTTGCCATTCAACTTAGTAACGAGTTCTGAACCTGACTTCTGCCATGAATAAGACAGAGGGTATGGTAATTACTCAGTTTTTTCAATTGGCAAAAATTATGATACTTTCAGATACATAATTCTATTATCAAAAAAAAAATTCTCTATAGTATTGGTAGTGATTTTTATTCACAGAATGAAATCATAGAGTAGCCTTCTTTTAAATTTCGTTGCTACCATTCAGTTTGAATGTTCTAATTTAAAGAAATCTTTAAAATACAGTATCTGTAAAATTCACAATTTTCCCACTTTTCAAAAGATAGAGTAATTACCATATGAGGTGAGAGGATATGAGCAGAGGTAGAAGGCGAACTTGAACTTCCTGTATGCAAACTGTTGCAATCTGGGCCTTTCAGTCAAAGGAATCCTCTACTGAGAGATTCAGGAGGGCCACAGTGAATGGAACTTGCCCCTGATAGTCCACTGCAGTTGATCATACAATCAAGTGAGATATTGCTGGATTAAGAAAAGAGTTGGGGTCAGTGACACATTAGTGAGTGTGGTGCAGCAGTGAATAAGAATTAATATGACTTATGCTTGCATTACTTTTTAAGAAGCCATTCCCAGCGCTTTGAGTTTCACCATTGTTGCAACTTGCTAAAACATTAGCCCCACCTCCTGTGGATTCTTGCATGTTTCCTGTTGTCATATACTAGTAATATCATGCAGTCCCTACAGCCTTGTTTAGGGGCGCATTCCCATAGATTTTAGATCGATCTATCCCTGTGGAGAGTCTCTCTAGATTACTGTCAGATAATCCGGCTTAAATGTCTATCCCACCTACTACAAGCTGTAAGGGGGTAATTAACTTTCATGCCTGCTGGGCTGATAGCTATTTAGTGTGAACCCCCAGGGAGTTAGGTCGATCTAGTTGAATCGATCTATCTCTGGGAATTGGGTCTAAGACTATCTCAGAGGATTTTCATTGTAACTGGTGGCAGACTGCATCGGAGACTCCTTTTCCTCAATGAAGGACCCTCTAAGGGTGCATTCAGATTCACACATCATACTAGCTGGGTCTGTCCAACTCTTTGGGGGGGTTATTTCTAAAGTGCAATCAGTGGAATCGGCTTAATCGGGATATAATCAGCACAGTAGCGAATTACTCCCTAGCTGCACAAGGAGGTGTGTCAGACAATTTAAGCTGATTCCACTGATTGCACTTCAGCGAGAATCCCCGGCAGAGTTGGACTGACCCAGTTTGTACAATGTGTGGATCTGAATGCGATCTCAGAGAGCCACAGCATGTTCTCAAGGATCAAGGGCAGACTGAGATGACCTTTAACTGACTGAGTTGGCTGCCTATTAACAATAGGTTAAAATCCATTAAGTTGAAATTATTGCAAAAGGAAATGGCCAGCAGTTGTTAATATAATTAGGTTGGCATTATGTTCACAAGGTTTAATGAGTTGCTCATCTAATAGTAATCATATTGATGTGAAGGGTGATTACAAATTGTTCTGTACTTTGGATAGGAGTGGTTTGTAACCAGTAGGGAATTTTTGGAGAAAAAGTAAATTTTATCCTACTAGGCTGATGCTCCTAAAAAATTAATGAATAGGTAAATGAATAAAATAAATGGCTGAATCAATAAATACATAAATAGATAAATGGATGTATGGATTGATAAATGGATGGCTGGATAAATAAATAATGAATCATGATAATTGGATGAGACTTGTAAAAATTACTAACAAAAGTTCCTCTCCACTGAATGCTTATCTTTAGTGTACACAGTATCAAGGCATCATTTCAATGTAAATAACAATATATATAAATTGCATCTATATATTTTTCCCACAATGAGCGAAAAGGAAGAAGGAAAAATACATACAAACTAACTTTATCTATAAAGAAATATTTTTTATCCTCATTCCAGGACCTGACTCCGCAGGCTCTGCAGCTGACCACGCCCGGCCTCCCCTCTCCCCAGCAGATGGAGGCCGGGTCCCCTGGGTCCACCCCCATCACCCCCATGACACCCCAGACACAGAAGATGTACTTTGAACAAAGATATGAGCCTTGCCTTGTGTGTGGAGATAAAGCTTCAGGTAAGGTGCTTGCATGAACTTGCTCGCACGCTTACACGTGTACAAACACACACATAC